CCTGCCACTGCACCTCCTGCAACAAGCCCCTTTTGCCTCTGTGCAATCTCTTCCCTGCCACTACACCCCCACCTCTGCCCCCTCCACCTCTTGGTCACCTCCACCCCCTGCAACAATCCCGTGCACTCCCCTCTCTGCCACCTTCACCCCCTGGAAGAGCCCCCATACGACCCCCCTCTTTGCAGCCCCCCCCCGGGTCCCCTGCACTTTGTGAACATCTGGGCCCCTGGTGGGAACTTGGCTGTAGGAAGGTGGGGGCTGGAAATCAGAGGGGGGGGCGCAAGGTGGAAGTTTCACCTAGGTTTCGCCTTGCACCGGCCCTGACCCTACCTAACCCCCCCCCCCCGCTGCACAGCACAAGAGGGTGCTGGCACAACGCTGGGGAGCACAAGCCTATCTTTGCTGCCTTCCCTGCAGAGCCAACACAGCTACGGGAGGGAGAATTGTGCGCTTTTCCTTGTGCATCATTAACAGATCTGAGTGCTGAACTCCAGTTAGCTAGACTTGTGCTTGTGCATCGAGACCAACAGGGCTCCACAGGTGTACTGGCAGATCCTTTTGATACATGAGCTGGAAAGATCCCAGCGTGGTTTTCAGAGCCCGGGCTGAGTTTGCAGGGCTGGCAGACAGAAAACCATTCTTTCTGCTTGTGAATTGACCCCATTTGGCCTGGAATCACTAATAGAATCAATGCAGGACCCCACAATGGCGTTTCACTAGACACTGTGCAGAGCAATGTCAACACTATCAACCTGCAGCACAACAGAGCCAGCAACCCCACTCAAAGCCAGACACGACACAGAACCCTAGACAAAATCAAGTCAGACCTAAGATTCCCAAGGAAAGAAAACCCTACACTGTACTGCTGGGCCCCCAATCTGGTCTGTCACAGGCACTAACCAGAGGTTAATGCTAGCCAATACTTTAGCACACTAGAACATAGAGGACACAGGCAGATCTTCAGCAAATACAGTCTCGGTGAACAGAGGACTAGGCACAAAGGCCAGTGCGAACTGGGAGAGGGAGGAGCCTGCATCCAGAGTGAGGAAAGAGATGGAGACAGAGAAATGCTTCTTACTCTGACACAGAGTGCGTGGAAAGAGAGGACTCTGGGAGGAAGCAAATTTAGCTAGAACACGGAACACACAGAGGCGTGAAGGCAGTGGAAGTGAAAGGCAGGGCTTCCAACTAACTGGCCAGGAATGAGATAACAACAAAAGGGATTTGTTACATGCTTGGACAATAGCTGGAAATTAAGGAAAGAATCCAAAAGTAATCTATACCCCTCCCCAACATGCCAAACTAGTCACCTGACCCCCCCAAATGCCCCCACCCTTACCCCCGATGCCAAGCCAGCACCCTGATCCACTCCCACACCCCACTCTGAACCCCAACAACCCCTCCACATACAACCACTGCCCTAGGTGCCAGGCCAGCACCCTGACCCCTAGTACCCTCGCACCCCACCATGCAGGTGCCAAACCAGCACCCTGATCCACCCCCCCCCGACCCCCCGCCCCCCCCCCCCCACCCACAACCCCTGCCCTAGGTGCCAGGCCAGCACCCTGCTCCATCCCACCCTGACCCCTAGTGCCCTCGCACCCCACCATGCAGGTACCAAACCAGCACCCTGATTCACCTCACCCTGACCCCTAGCACACACCCCCAAACACACAACCCCTGGCCCAGGTGCCAGGCCAGCACACTGATCTACCTGACCCCTAGCACTCCCCCCACCATGCAGGCACCAGCCCAGCACTGTGATCCACTCCACCCTGATCCCTAGACACACACACCTGCTCCAGGTGCCAAACCAACACCCTGATCCACCCTCTCCCCCCCATGCAGGTAGCAAACCAGCACCCTGATCCACACTCCACCCTGACCCCCCAACAACCTCGCCACACATACCTGCCCCAGGCACCAGTCAGCACCCTGACCCCCCTGCCCGGAGCCGGATCCATGCCCCGCGGACTCACCCTCCGACTCCAGCCGCTCCTCGCTCCAGCTGACCCAGGAAAGTCCCGTCTCTGCCCCCGCCTCCCGGGGATTCCGGAGCCCGCCTCCTGCGCCACGGGACCAGCCGGGGCGGGGCCTCCCCTTCCCCGCCCCCACTCGCGTTCCGAGGGCCCCACCGGCCCAGAAACCCGGCGCGACCCCTGCAGAGCCTCGCTCAGGCCTTGCCCCCTTGGGAGGCCGATCCGAGCGGGGCTGCAGCTGAGCTGGGGGGCCGAGCAGTGAAGCACGGAGCCCAAGGACAGGCGTTCCCGTGGCTGCAGGGCTGCTAGGAGCACGGCTGGTTTCACGGGGCGGTGCCACTCTGGGCTTGTACTCCTGCAGCCTGAGCAAACTGCCCCTGCCTGAACGCTGCCCCCTTTCCGGGAGGGAAGTGACATTCCCCTGTCCCTGCACGGCTCAGGTGGGCCACCAGCCAGGTGTCCTCGGGGGAGGGGGAGCAAACCCCGCGATGCCCCGCACCACTCAGGCAGGACCTGAGTTCCGCCTTCACCCTTCCACGGCACCAGGAACAAAGGGAGCAGAACTGCAGCGTCCTCCCCAGGTCGCAGAGTGCCCCAGAGTCCACCGCCTGGGAAGGAAGCTGAGGCCTCAGGAGAAGGATCCTGCAGCTCACAGGCCGCCCGCATCTGAACAGACTGTCACCCAAACATTGTCCCGCCTCTTCACCATCGCAGGGCCCAGAATGATCAAACAGCATCCCTGGGACAACAACATGGAAAGGAAGTACCAGGAAAATGATATATTTGGGGTGGGATTTTCAGCCACGTCGGAGTGACTTACAGCCTTTCCCTGGGACTCGTGCACGATGCTTTGGAAAATCTCACTGTTAAATGCTACTGAACAGCTGGAAACAAGGAACTGAGCCAGCCCCATATTACCAGCAAGGGCTCAGCGAGCCACTGGTGGGCCATTGGCCACAGTTCAGGAACTACTGCCATAGAGATTTGGGTACTTGCTATGTTCAGGCTACCAAGGCTGTTCCTCCGGGGAAGAAAGTGAACTCTTCACACCTGGCTGGTTTTCCATTTTATTATTGCAAATTTATTTTTCCACATATATTTTCCATATATTACATATAAAATATTGCTCGCACTCCTCTCTGAACCACATGCCTGGTGAATTTACAGGGCAATTCCCTTTGAAAGGTGGGCAAATCAGGAAGCAGAGCCCCATTAACACACACAGCAGCAGCAAACTCCCCTGTCAAGGGGGGAAAAATACACGTTACATTCACTCTCATACACATCTAAGGTTCACCCCCACCAGCCCCTCCTCCTGTGGTCTCATAAGGATCAGCCTCAGGAGACCAGATGACATACACTTGGTAGGACTGGCTGACTTTGTTCATGTCCTGAGTTAGGTTAGGATCCACTCATCCTCCCTTGGAAGAGATGGCGTTGGTCTACATGTAATGAAGGCAAAAAAGCATCCCCGTAGGGAGCATGCAGTTTCAAATCACATCCCCAGTGTTCTTAAACATTTTACAATGCGCCCAAGGCACTTTATAAGGCATAGGCAGTAGAGGAAGGCTAGTCTTGTGCTAAGAGTCACAGCTGGATCTGCTGTACACTTACGTTGGGGAAGTCACTTCATCTTTCTCTGCTCCATTTCCCTCCTCTGTAACAGGGGAATGATGATAACCCACCTTCCGAGGGGCTGGGAGGCTGAATTCACTAATGACAGTACCCTGAATGCCTCAATAGTGAGAGGAGGTGCAGGAGAACCGTGTTGGATCTAATTATACAGGACTACAGAAGGGTAAAGTCATCCTCTCCTCTGAGCACTAACCCCCAGGTGCGTGAAGTTTTATGTCAGATCTGGCCCGAAGCACTGCAAGCTCTTCAGCCCAGGGCCTTTGTATCTGCACAGCACCTAGCACACTGCGGCCTCGGGGCACTACTTAATGCAAAGAACTCTTTAAACATATGCAGACCTGAGGGAAGAAGGTGAAGATTGTGGAAAGAATTCAGGCATGGCCACACTGCAGCTTAAAACCTCTAACTTACCGTTCATCAGCCGACAGCACCTAGGAGCTCAACTCAGCCCAGGACCCCACTGTGGCTAGGTGCTGTACAAACACAGGATGAAAAGCTGCTCCTTGTCTTAAAGAGCTTTCAGTGTAGGCCAGCTCTGGGCTGAGAACAAGCAGGAAGCGGGTCAGTACGGGGGGGGGGGGGCATTCCTGAGAAGAGCCCACGGAAATAGGGACTTCCCTGAAATTAAAGTGCTGCCTCGGCCTGAACTATGGAGTGGCTGGCACACGGATTGCTTTCTCCATGGTGCTTCTGTGTAGCCATCAGGCACCAGCTCAGCCAGGTAAGCACCGGCCACGTGGGCCCACAGGACAGGGGTCTACTATAAAAGACCTAAACTGCTACAGATTTAATCTTTGCCATAGTCACTTAGACTTTGTTCACAGCCAGATGTGCCAGCATGACTTAACCCTGCTGGGAGAAGAGAGGCATCTTGCCTTTTGGCTCCAACCATCTGGTCACCCTTGATCAGCCCGGCGAGATCAGGTACTAGTCTACAATAAGCACCCCCCACTGCTCCTGAGCTAGCCGACCAGAGGAGTGGGGTTTGCAGTCTCTTTGACAGGCCTAGCTACCCCAGAGGACTCTGGTATCTCAGCAAAAAATTGCCTGACTTTGTCATCTCGTGCCATCCATGGTCCCCAGAAGGCAGCCCCTCTGCCTTCCCCATGGCCCCCTCCCTGCTGCCACCTCTCCCACCTTCCTCCCTACAGAACAAGTCCTCTTTGCCTCCACCCCCAGCCCCTCAAGGGCATAACCATCTGTGCCCCTACCTCCCCTCCCTGATGTACGAGGTGCCTTCTACCAGGGCAGACCCCCCTCCCCAAACCCAGCCCGGAGGCAATGTTAAACGCCTCCCTGCAAGGGCAGCTCATGCTCGTATTGTGTCTATGTCTCACCAGAGCACCAAGTACCTTAAGCCTGCTTCCACCTCAGAGTCCCATTTACTCCCTGCCCCTCCACCCTATCCCCTTTTAGTACCTCTCTGCTCCTGCAGGGAGAGCTCTTTGATGGGAGGTAAAAAGCCCCTGAAGGGCACTAGTGATGCTGGGGCTGTGGGTCCAGATGTTCTTAGTGTATTGTCTGCATGAGTCAGAAGGGGAGGTGAAGTCAGGATCAGCCCCCCAATCCTTCCCCCTCCCCCCACAAATTGGAGGCACTTTGGTTCCTGGATATGTTCAAGGCAAGAGAATCACTGGCAATGTCTGGATTTTTGGTCTCGCCAATCTGCCTGTCCCAGCTCTCCAGGGATGAGGCCAGGTCCCCTCAGACCATGGCCAAGCCCTCGGAGTGGCTGTGGCCGTGCGGTGTGCTGGCCGTGCTGCTGTCAGATTTGTAGCTCTTGGGAGCCCGGCTGGCTTTCAGAAGCACCAGGAACGTGTCTGTGGAGATGGCGCCGAACTCAAAAGTGAAGGTGCCGTAGAAGACAAGGATATTGATGATGAAAATCCACTCGCACAGGGCGGCCACGTGCTGCAGCACAAAACTGTCCTGGACGAAGAACACGCCACCTGAGGGCGCCAGAGTCAAGGAAACCGACAGCAAGAGGCACCAGCATCTCTCTCCAGCGGGCGGGGCAGGCAGCTGCAGCGGGCAGCCTGGGAAAGGCGGGGCCGGCAACTCCCCCAGACATGTGAGGCCGGGCTGAGTCAGTGTGGGATGTACTGAGAGCCTCTACGGGGAACGGAGCATTGCTCCTGGATACAGGGAATTACCTGACCCCCAAGTGCTAGGCCTGCCTCCAGGAGGGGTCTGGCACCCCAGGGCAGGGGGTACAACCCTGAACCCCCCCCCCCAGTGCCAGCCCCAGGGCAGGGGATAAAGCCCTGAATGCCCAAGTGCCAGTCCCACTGCCCCAGGAGGGGTCTGCCCCAGGGTAAGGGGTAAAGCCCTGAATCCCCCCAGTGCCAATCTCACTGCCCCAGGAGGGATCTGCCAGCCCAGGACAAAGGGTACAACCCTGAACTCCCGCCCCCCCACACCCAGTGCCAGTCCCACTGCCCCAGGAGGGGTCTGGCAACAGCAGGGCTGATCCTTAGCTTACAGCTGGGGCCCAATCCTGCTCCCACTGAAATCAGATTCAGAACTCCCATTTTACGTCAGTGGAAGCAGAAGCAGGCCCTAGACTGGATGCCGCTGCTCGTGAGCATGATGAGTAACACAGCCACGGGGACCCTCAGCTCCTCACATGCAGGGCAGGGGGGTCGCTGTGGCTCAGGCAGCCCGTCTCTCTCTCTGCCCCTTGGTCTGTTAGCTATTGCTGGGGCAACTTACAAAGGTGCTGAGCTGGAACGAGATGCAGCCTTTTGGGGTGAGTTTGCAGGGAGCCATCCCAGCGGGTTGAATATAAACCCCCGAGCTGCAGGGCCAGCCAAATGCAAACAGTCTCCAGGGCGGAACAGGACTCTCATGGACACTGAAGGGTTAATGATCATCCCAGCGTGATCCTTCCAGCACAAAGTCTGTTGTCACAAAGGGAGCTTGGTATGCAAGGCGCAAGGGTGGGCCCTGTGCCAAGAGTCCAGAATCTCATCCACTTCAGGGAATACCCATGAGGGCAGGGCCAGCCCACCAAGTCCCCATGCTGCCTCTACCACCATTTACCCCACCCCCAGCTGTCAATCCCCTCCCTCCCCAGCAAGGACTCTCTGCATCTCCTGCCTGGCCATTTTCAAAGGAGCCCATGGGAATCCAGCACTCACATCCCACTGAGTTTCAGGGGCAGCTGGGTGCCCAACACCCTTAGGACTTATTGAAATCTCCAGCCTCTGTTTCTTGCCCACACTCCTGTATGAGCGCCCCTCATTACAGCCTACCGTCTCCTCCCCTGGGACCCCTTTCCCCTGCCTTGGCCTGCAACTCTCTGGGAAACCCAGCTCCTTCATTTTGGGACTGTGCACCTCTGCTCTGCGTACTCCACTCCAACTGCTTTCCAGCTCTGACTGCCCCAGCCTCCTCTTTGACTACAGTAACTCCTCACTTAACATTGGCTCCTTTAACATTGTTTCGTTGCTGATCTATTAGGGAACAAGCTCGTTTAAAGTTGCGCAATGCTCCCTTATAACGTCCTTTGGCAGCTGCCTGCTTTGTCCACCGCTTGCAGGATTCTCTGGAAGAGCAGCCCCTCCTTGTGGGGATTAGAACCAGGGGGGCTGGCAGCCCCCCACCCCCTTCAGCTCCCCTAAATTCCCTGTAAGGTATGTGGCTAGGCAGCTGCCCAGCAGCAGTTCAGGTGGCCCTCCCACCACTGCCGTGCGGCTCCTACCCTGCCCTCTGCCTTGGAGCTGCTCCTGCCTCCCCCCTCCCATTTTGTACCCCCTCTCCACAAAGGGGAGGAGAGGGACAGAAAGGGAGGACCTGGAAGCTGTTGCTTCCTGTCTGATCTGCTTAAAAGGGCAATGTACTTGAAGTGGGGTCTGCATACTTAAAGGGGCAATACACATCTCTCTCTCTCACTCATGCACGCACTCCCCCCCCCTCAGCACTTTGGAAAGTCAGCACCTATGCAGCCGTGCATGTGCTGTCAGGAGAAGGGAGGGGTGTGCTCCAGCTGGATAGCTTGGGCTCATCATCCTGTTCAGTTTTTGCAGGGAAGTGTTTGCAGCTACTGCCCTGCATCTATCATGTTTTCCCCCTCCTGCCTCAGTCCATGCTGCCTTGTAGAGTGTGAGGCTACATTAACAACAGCGTATTAACCCTTGAGGGCTCAGCCGATGCTGATTCATCATTTAGCAGCAAGGCATTCCCTGGGAAATAGCCCACCCTCTGACTCCACCACCTCAACCAAGCTTCACAATCATCATTGCTGTGTACAATATTAAACTGTTTGTTTAAAATTGTTTAAAACTTATACTGTATATGTATATAATGTCTTTTGTCTGTCGAAAAAAAATTCCCTGGAACCTACCCCCCCCCCATTTACATGAATTTTTATGGGGAAATTGGATTCGCTTAACATTGTTTCGCATAAAGTTGCATTTTTCAAGAACATAACTACAACATTAAGTGAGGAGTTACTGTGCTTATTCCATGGCTTTCCTTTATCCATTCGTCTGTACATGGACATCTGATGCCTGGTTTGGGCAGATCTACACCATTCTGGAAAATAAAATGGAAGGGCTTTCCCAGAAACTGGTCCCTCCTTATTGCTGATGGAAGTTCTTCCTCAGTTCCTTCTAGGACATGCAATCCTAGGGAAATCCCTTACTCTTATCTAGCTGGTTATTTCCTTTGCATTCTTTCCAGCCCCAGCGCAAGCATCCCTCAGAATATCTCCCATGGACTGCAACTTTTCTCCTAAGGGACCAACCTCTAGGCTGGGAGGGGAGTCGGACCTGGAGAGCCCTGTCCAGCTGTGGGCTGCGGGCCTCAGTCATGTCGGTTTTATGCCTTTTGGCTGCTGAGACCACACAGCTATTGGCACAGAACTCGCCAATCAGCCAGCAGAAGGTCACGACTCCAGGCCACTCGCACCAAGGCCTGTGCCCCGGGAGCCCTCTGCAGCTGCTCTTGCCATGTCTCTGCTTCTCCACTTGCTGCTCTCCTCTCTGTCAGGTATTCACAGAGTGTGCCAGCCACCACAGTGCCTGGTGCTGGCTCCAACCCTCCTCTCGTGTCCTTATACGCCCCTGCCTGTCCCTTCAATCCCTGGCACCTCCCTGCTCAGCCACACTGGTTTCTGTTGCCTTTTTGCCATTCTGGAGTTTACTGATTTGGGGCTTGGATCCCAACCTCCCCCTAGGCACTGGGAATGTGTCCCACTTACCCAGCCAACACTCCACTTCACGGCCCCCAGCGTTCAGTATTCTGCATCCCTGCCCTTCATACAGATCCTCCTCTGCATTTCCTGCCCCACATGACGATCACTGAATCCTAGATGCCCACAGCTCACGCCTGCCTCCTTCCCACCCATCCCATCTAAAATAGAGCAGCCACGGGCTGTCTCCAGCATGCTGCGTCAGGAAACGCATTACAACCACTGCCACCATGCACCCAGCCCGCGCTTCTATACAACTCTTCTCCTACTCGGCACAGCCGCATCATCAGAGTCCCCTCTGACCTCTGGTATCTGCACTGGCGTCTCCTGGGCTCCCCTGCCATCCTGCCCAAGGGCTCTCGAGCTGCACAGAACCATCACCTTGGTTCCTATTTTGTCCGCAACCTCAGTCCAAATAACCCTCTGCTGTGTCAGCCCAGACACTAGGGGGCTTTCTTCCGGCTAACACAATATTCCCTTCTTCTCCCCCCAGACACCCCTCCTACTGCTCTCTTTATAAACCCCAACGCCTGCTAATTTAGCTGCACACGAAGGGCCTTAGTTTAACCAACTCCACCTCGCCTTTCCCCTCACCGCACAGCTCCGATTCAGCGACCCCGCTGGGTTTGCTCCTGTGTTTGCACAGAACACATTTATAGCTCTGCCCAGCTCCCTCTTTTAAACCTGGATGGTCAGTAAATAACATTGCAGCCGGCTGGCTTATCCAGGGCTGAGGGCTCAGAACACTGCAGCCGCCTGTTATTTGTGTTACAGTAGCACCTAGGATCCGTAGGATCCAGGACCCCCCGGCGCTAGGCGCTGTACAAACACAGAACCCAAAGACACTCCCTGTCCCCGAGAGCTTACTGTCTGATGGAAAAAAGGTTGTGACTTGGCAGCGGCAAGATCTGAACCTACACTTACGAGGAGCCTGGAGCCTAAATCCAGTCCCTTAGATGATTGCCCCTGCTACCAGCTAGATTGGAACTCAAGAGGGCTAAGAAAGCTGTTTGCTTGAAAGCTACAAACTGCCAGCAGCAGGGTCAGGGGGACCCCATGGCAAGGGATGCACTTTCCAGGAGTGCTGAAACAAGCCACCGAATCCTGCTGCCGAAGGGGCGAACGCTATTCCACACCCAGGCTCAAGTCTGCCATCAGCCAGTAAAACCTAGTGTGTGGGCCACCGACTTCTGCCTTCCCTCCACACCCCCTCCACTCAGCGAGCACCAGCCCCCATCTCCTTTGCTCCACCTCACTTTAGTCGGGAGAGCCTTCTCCTCTGCAGCTGTCTGGAGCACCCTCCCCGGACCACTGCCCCACCTCGACTCTCCGTCCCATTTCTAATCTCAGCAGCCAAGGTCCGTCTCCCTTGCCCTGGCCCCCTGCTGCTATTATTTCTCCCTGCAATTGGACTAAAGGCTGTACAGCTTTTGGACGATGGTGTCTGTATAACAGACTCGGTGCTAAGTCCAGGGGGCTGCTCCAAGCAGTGCAGATGCCAGTGATGATTTTCTCTAGGTACGGTCTGAGCCATCAGATTTGTTGCCCAACCCGCAGAGCTGCCAACGCTGGCAATTCGTTTTCACACACCTCAGCTGCCCATTTCTTACCCACATCCTATTGCCAAGGAAAGGATACTGAAGACAAGGGTGATGAAGGCCAAAGCGGAGAGGATGCTGCGCAAGTGACCGGTCCAATAGTGGCCCCTGGTTTTCGCCATGCGGTAAGTCAGAACCGACTGCAGGAACACAAAGAGCATGCTGGTAGGAAATGCCACACCTGCGCCAATGTAATGCAGCACCTTGGCATAGTCCACCTGGGAGACAGAAACAACCAGGTCAGGGCACACAGAGTCCCACTCCGCTCCGTCGCCCAGATGCTACAGTTCACAGTACTCTGGCCTTCCTCTTTCTAACTCTAGAGTTTGGGTTCTAGCCCCTAATCAGATTTCTGTCTCACACACATACCCCTCTCTGGCTTGGGGTGCCTTGCATCAGATGTCACTTGCACGCACGCTTTCTAACTGGAGAGTCAGGATCCCAGGGCCACCATATGAACAGCTGCCTAATTAGAACCTAAGGGGCATCTGGCACCTGGTTTCAGACACACTCTCCCCCTCGACTCTAACGTGAGGCTTAAGGTCTAAACCACCACAAGGAGGGGGAGGGAGAGGGGAAGGCGGCGGGAGAGCTCTCCCTCTACCGGGGAGCAAATCTCACACATAGGCAGAGCTGTCTGGGTCCCCACATTGAGGTCTGAGGATTCCCCAGAGAGCACTCGCAGATGAGTCCAGACTGACAATGGATTCAGCAGGGAGACATGGAACAGGTCTGGCCAAGTACTGTCCTCTGTCCGGGAAGGGAATCCATGTTTACATGGTTTCAGCGGGTTAGTCTTTGGCGTGGCAGGGCAGCATTCCCGCAGGCAGGGGGCCCCATGCCTCTGCATGTTCCCAGCTGTTACCAGGCTGGCTCTATGGTTGCCCAGAAGGCTCAGACACACACGGTGAATTTGGCTGGCTGGCTTGATGCAAGGAGCGAATTAGAGCAAGGCTGGGGCCAGGGTCGGGGCAATGCAGCCAGCTGAGCTGTGCCCTCGGAATACAGCATCCACAGCAGCCTCCTGGGCAGTGAAGCCAGAACCTATCACACAAGGGAAAGGAGAGAAGCCAGGTGCTCTGGGCAGGCGACTGGTTACGAACGGCCCAGCAGCCCATCGCAGAGCTGGGGGTGCCCAGAGACCTAGTGCCAGCCCAGCATCCCCCATGAGGTTTTGGGGGTGGCCAAGGCGAGCCTATTCCTGCCTGTAGGTAAACATCCCCCTCCCCAAGGATGGCCTGATTGTGGGTAGAGAAAAGCAGACACCACTAGAAAGCAGCGTCTGCCCAGACACGTTTCCTGGCATCGCTTCGGGAGGAGCAAACATCCACCCTTGGCGGGCGCTGGAGGGAGAACAGACACATCTGTGATTCATCCGCTTTGCTCTTCTGATGGGGGGAGAGCCGCTGCCAGAGCCCAGAGACTTGGCGCCCCCTCCATGCACAAACCCAGGAGCACCAGTGACATCCGACTGGGAACTGAAGCTGGGGGGAGAATCTCAGTTAACCCCATGGGAGCCAAGCTAGGTTCCACGCAGCCCTCGGGATCTGGGCACCTCGCAGTCATTCATCCAACCTCACAGCTCCCCGGGAGACAGGGCAGTGCCATTACCACCACATTACAGATGGAGAAACTGAGGCACACAGAGGCTAAGTGACTTGCCCAAAGTCGTGCACAGAGTCTGGTAGAGCAGGAAACTGAACCCTGGTCCCCTGACTCCAAATCCAGTGGCTCATCCCCCAGGGCCTAGGCCACCTTTACTCCTCTGACAGTGATTAACCATTAACCTCCTCCCCCCTCCCCCTCAGACTGGGAACCCTGGCATTGGGTCATTTGTTTTTGGGGTGGGGGGAAATTCCTTGCCCGCAGCTAAAGCTCTCCATAGCTCAGCCCAGGGGATAGGGCTCCCCACAGAGCGGGTCAAAGCTGGCCAGTCCATGACTGGGTTCAGGCGAGACAAGGAAGGGGTTGCCCACTCCAAGTATTGGGCACGTTGCCTCCACAGCCTTCCTTCCCCGCACCAGGCCCTGGTCTCTGATCCAGGGCATTAGCTGGCACCGCATCCCCAGGCTGATTTTGATGCAGTCTGCCCCCGTCGCCTGGAACTCTCAAACGCCTGCCAGTTCACAAGGATAAGCTCGCTTGAACCACGGTGCGAGCGTGCCCGCAAAGCTGAGCACAGAGGACTCAGGGCAGCCTGGCCCCCGGCTGCACACAAGGCAATGCTGATTCCAGGTAAAGCGCTTTACGCCCCCACCCAGAGCTGGAGGGAGCAGATCCCATCACACCCAAGCCATGCACCTACGATCCAAGTCACAATTCAGAGCTATTTCCTAGACAGGTGCTGAGCGCTCTCGACTCCCATTGGCTCAGCTCCTCACAGGATCAGGCCCTCAGGGAGCAGACTGCTTTGCCAAGCGTTTTCCCCTGCGCTGCCAACTGCTCTGCAGTCTGGGTTTCCTTGCGGCACCCTCCTGCCACGCGCCTTCTTGCGCATGCAGAGCGAAGCAAATCCCAAGACACCGCCGTTGGCTCCCCAGACATTTCAGGGTATAGCCCTTCCTAGCCAACCTCACAGAACTCCTGCCCTACTCATCTGGCACTGGCCTCCTCTGCCTGGTGCAAGAGCCTTCCCCTCTGCAGCTCTTGACATCTGGAAGAGCCATCAGCTGAAGAGAGGCCCTCTCTTTCCTGCTTGCGCCTCTATCCCTCCACTAGCTTTCAACTCCAGAGTGCACTGCAGGGAAGCAGTTTCTGCGCGGTCTCTGCTCTCTGATGCCGGATTGCACAAGCCCATCAAGTGGGGGGAAGTTGATGAGCACACTGGGGTAGTCCCCGCTGATCTGACAGCTGGAACGGACCTGGTGACGGCATCCACTCATCCAGGTCATCTTATCTGTCCCATGTCTGATGGAAAAACCCCAGAGTCCAGGACACAGGGGCACCAAATATTGTGTTAGTGACACAATCCAAAGGGAAGGAACCTTGGACTGCGGCTATGCGAACATCCCTAGCGCAAAGCAATCCAGCCCAGGGGCAAGGAAGGGGCTGCTCTGGCCTCACGCCCGCAGAATATCTCTGCTGACCCTGTGACAAAGCTGGAAGGAGACATGCCCATAAGTGCCAGGTTACATGTTGGAGCCAGGGGTACAACCAGGATTTTGCTAAGGAGTGGGCCCAAGTGACCTGCCCGACTGCCCCAGATTTGACTGGCATTGTGACCTGGCGCACAGGCATAGGGACTGGAACTAGGAGTGCTGGGTGGGGGCAGCACCCCCTGGCTTGAAGTGGTTTCCATCATATACAGGGTTTACAGCAGGAGTGGGCAAAATACAGGCCACGGTGCAGCAGGGCTCAGGCAGACTGCCTGCCTGTTGTGGCCCCACTCTGCGGCCTCTGGCAGGGGTGGGAGGCGGCTCTGCATGCTGCCCCAGTCCCCAGCACCATCCTCACAGCTCCCATTGGTCGGAAACCGGCCAATGGGAGCTGCGGAGCGATGCTTGTGGGAGCAGGCAGCGCACAGAGACCCACTGCCCCCCTCTCCCCAAGGGGCGCGCAGAAATGTGTCAACAGCAGTCAGTCGCAGCCGCTTCCGGGAGCGGTGTGGGGCCACAACAGGCAGGCAGCCTGCCTGAGCCCTGCTGTGCCGCTGGCCAGGAGCCGCCTGTGGTAAGTGCCTCCTGGCCAGAGCCTGCACCTCGCACCCCGTCTCCTGCACCCCAACCCCCTGCCCCAAGTCAGAACCCCCTCCTGCACCAAACTCCCTCCCAGAGCCCATACCCCTCACCCTCTCCTGCACCCCAACACTCTGCCCCAGCCCAGAGCCCCCTCCTGCACCAAACTCCCTCCCAGACCCCGCACTCCCTCCATTAATATAGTAGAAATGTGCGGCCCGTGACGATTTACCAAAATTTGTGGAGTGGCCTCTCTGCAAAAATTATTGCCCACCCTGGTTTAAAGTTTGATTCAATGGCTCTCAGCACCCCCACTATACAAATTGTTCCAGCACTCCTGCGCACAGGGCCCCAGCACCACTCAAATTTGGCCCAACTGCCCCTCTGTCTTGCCTGCCTACCTGGGGAGACCCATCCCCCTGACCCTTGAGTACCAGGGGCTCTTTCCCTTTGCCCCAAGACTCCTGGGACTGACCAAAAATTTTACAAACCTGCACCTACGGGCACACCCCTGGGGTCCAGAGGCAGCCCTCAGTGGTTCTCACAGGAGGGCAGCAGGTTTGCTAACATCAGGGCGAGTCTCTTTCACACAAGATCAACCCCTGGTTTCTAGGCTCTAGATTCCCACCAGGGACAGAAGGCCTACATGGATCTGGGTATCAGTGTCCAATCTGGGGACGCTGGCGCATACAGCGAGATGGGGTCTCTCAGCACCTGCTCACCCAATCCTGCTCAGCACAGATGAATCCTCGCTATTTCCATGCCTACAGTAAATGCTAAGCCAGCATGTCAATGCAACATGCAGACTGAAATTTGAAATGCAGAACAACTGCCTGAGCCAGCTCCTGCTACAGCCCCTGGCTGGCTGGGGGCTTCGCTAGATAGGTTTTGGTGACAAGATCAGAGATTGCAGGGCAATGTTATTTCACAAATATTTACTTTACAAGATAAGAGTTAAATGGAGACTGGCAGCTTAGTCTGGGCCCATTAGGGGTGAGCAAATGAAGGGGAATTCCAGAGCCTAAGAGGAAAGGAAATTTACTTGCATGAAGTGAAAAAATTAATGAAAATGGGGGGTTGATCCTAAATACTCCCCTGTGATGCTGGAAACACCAAACACAAGCGCTGGGAGACAGCGTGCTTTGGCCCGGGTTCAACCATGTAGGGCGAGTGACAGGCAATGAGTAACCACCCGGAGCAGCGGTGGGAATGAGTGTGGTGCTTATGGCTCCTTCAGCTTTAACACGCTGCGGGGTTATTAGGAGCACAGGGAAGGGAATACAGGATATTTAACTTGACAGGCCGAACGCAACCGATTTGTGAGTGGATCAAAATGCCCCAAGAGCTTCAATAAGGAGGTTTTCTGCACACGACTGGGCCACTGGGATCCCGCTGCATGCAGCTGAGCTAGAACCCTGCGCTGGCTTCCCAGAGCCCCCATCTGTTCCCTCCCCCCTAGAGGAGGAGTCTTACCTGAAAGTTGCCAACCATGGTGAGACCGGCGGCGCAGATCCAGCCTGCTGCCAGCCCCAGGGTGTTGAGGAGGGACGGCCCGCAGCACTCGATGACGTGGGCGTATCTCAGCAGGCCCACGAGCATCACTGGGAGATGGAGACAAGGCATCCCGTCAGACACACGCCCACCAGCTGCAATGTCTCACCTCCCAGAGCCATCTTTGCCCTGCCTCAGCCTGCCCAAGGGGCAGGAGAACAAGGAGCTCTTCGCCCACCCCTCTGTCTTGGAGAGGCCAAGCAGACCCCTGGCCAGCAACAGCTACCACCTGGAGATGATGACACAGAAGCCCCTTCTGTCACAGGTCCCAAGGGCCAAATTCGGTTCATTTCAGCCACAGCTCCCGGCCTTGGGGCGATGCCAGGAGCCTTGCGAGCCCTACCAGCACATACTACAGGGCAATCTGCTCCTGCTCCTAGTGCAGGAAGCTGGGAGTGCAGTGGGGAGGGTGAGGAGAGCAGAAGCCGAGGCCCCTTCTCAACTTGCAAAGATTTTGGATTAAATGTTCTCTGTGGGTGAAGTGCAGACCCAAAGGCTTTGTGCTGAAGAGCTTACAATGCTTCGGGCCAGACACGTAAAACTTCCCACACAGCAGCGGGGAACTGAACCCCGCCATGCACGGCTCTCCTAGGGCCAGGCTGCGAGAGGCACCAGTTGCACAGCAAGCTGCTGGGGCTCTAACAGGCTGCAAAGGGCGGGGGTCTGTGACACTGACGCCAGGTTGCAGTAGTTACTTGACCTGGACTTCGACACAGAGAACTAATCCACGGCACTCAGCAGCAAGGGATCGAGGGCCAGAGATCCACCCCCCGGACTTCCCAGGAGCAACGGGGTCCCTGCACATCCCTGGAGGGTACGTTTTTAGGGCCTGGACAGGCTGGGGAGTAGCCACGCTGCCCGCCCTCCCACGCAAGCCCCCTGCAGCGGGAAGCTCTCGCGACCAGGGAACCTGGGTCTGGTTCGCTTTATATGCAAACAGACACCTCCCAACCCGCACTCTGTGCCCCCTCCCTACATGGACAGCTGTGCCCTGCACGCTGCCCCTGGCCGTCCCGTCTCCATGCAGATTGGATCAGTCCCTGCCCTGGCGCTCACCCCTGCCCTCCCATCGGGCTGAGTCCCATGTCTGAGCCCAGTGAGGTTCCCCACGCTGGAGTTCTGACCCCACTGGGCCACGCCCTCCTCAGCCCCTCGGCTTGGGCTCTGCAGCAGGTGCATCTGGGTCAGCTCAGCCTTAGGCACCCCAGCAAAGCAAGCAGCTGGCAGGGGCCTGTGGCCCCACCCAGCTCTGCACCCTTCCCCATCAGCCGTGACAGGTCAGGGAGAGCTGGTGGCCCTGCGTATGGGAAGGGCAGCGCTGCCCCGGCCGGCTGAGCTCCTGCAGCTCTGCGTCCCCATCCCTGAGCAGCACAGACTTACCCATGAACGATCCCAGGCTGCAGATCAGGCTGAAGAAGCAGCTCTCTGGAGGGAAGGTGCCACACTTGCTGGGGAAAGGAGACAGGGCCTGTTAGAGACGCCACACGGCACCAGGCCTTGGGTGGGCCACTAGCCCAGGGGAACCAGGCCTGCCCAGGGGAACCAGGCCTGCTGGCAGTGCCACCAATAGCTGGGGCAGCTGCCCTCCCAGCCCTGGCCTTGCTGCCCCACTTGCTCCCTCCATTCCCCCTGGCTGATTCATGGCCATTTGCCGTCCCCTCCCCCTGCAGGCAGTGTGGTGCTCCTGGCTGCCTAGATGTGGTGCTGCGGGTGCACAGGGCAGGGTCTCATCAGGAAGCGCTGGAGTGGGATGGGCTGCTCACAGCTGGCACACCCCACACTGCACGGGTACCATGCTGCAGCCAGGTCCCTGACGGGCTGGACTCGCAGAGGGGTGCTTAGTGGAGGCAGGAGGTTCTTCACTCCTTTGGTGCCCCCCTGCATCCATGGGAAGCTCTCACCTCCAGGCCACAGGACCAGGGCTGGGGCCCATTCCCAGTGTGGGTGCCACAGAGGGACGGTGGGATGGGGGGAGGTACTACCCCTCAGCTGAGATTCTTGGAGCTGCTGTCCTGGCCAGCACCCCTGAGCTGCCAAGCGGGAGGGTGGGCGCTATGGCTTAGTGACATGGTTGCTGGGGCATTGCCTGCTCCACCCATGCCCTCAGAGAGTGTCCTGCCATAACCTGCCCCCTCAGAGCGCCCCCCACAGGGCGAGGGATGCTGCATAGAACACCAGCTGCTGCCCTTGCATCTTCATGCGCCGCAGAGCCATGGCCAGGTGTTCAGGGGCGGAGACGGGCTGCCCAGGACGGCAGGGGCATCAGCCACATGCACTGTGCCTGGCAAAGGGGAGGGCTCAGGAGTGCCTCACTTCAGGTGGGTGTAGGCAAACCAGCACTTCAGGCACAGCCCCTGAGGCTAGCCACCACACGCACACGCCAGGGACCCCTCCCTTCCTGTGCCAATCATCCCTGCCTCCTGCCCGTGCCCAGCTCCCTGCCCTCCCCCGATCAGGACTAGCTGGGAGGCTTGGAGGGGGCTGGTGTGAGGACTCCCTGGGCAACAAGCTGGCCCAGCAGAAGCCCTGGGGCAGGCAGTATGGGGAGGCTGGAGCTCCAGGCAGTCTCTCCGCAGCTGGGAGCGAGCTAGAGCCTCCAGCGAGCATCTGACCTTTCCCCCACTTCGCAAACAGGAAGCCAAGGGGAAATTCCAACCCCAGCGCCCACTCCTACTTCATGCAAGCCGTCCCCTTCCTCTTCTGCCACAGGCGCTGTGGAGCCCGGCCTCCCATCCCAGGGTGCACACACACACACACACACACACACACACACACACTGCTCACACACCCAGTGTGCCACAAACACACAGACACTGCTTACACCCTGTGTGCCACAAACACACAGCTCACCCCCTGCATGTCACAGACACATGCGCTGCTCACACCCCATGTACCACAAACACACACACACACACACACGCCACAAACACACACGCACTGCTCACACACTCAGGATGCCACAAACACAAATGCACTGTTCACACACCCAGCATACCCCCCCCACACACACCACACCCCATGCCACAAACATATGCTCAGGGGGTCCTTTCTGCAAGCACTTGCAGCCACTACAGAAATGCCCCAAGACACTTTCCCAGAAACCCCTGCTCCATGCACCCAGCACCCCATCCATTCCCAGGTGTGTACGCCACCCCCCAGCCACAAACCTCTGCACAGAGCCCATCAACCACACACACACTACAAACACACGCCGCCCTTCCACACAGAGACCAGCTCCAAGCAGACCAGTCACCCCTCCCACACACACACACGGAAAACCCCCTAAGAGTGGAGTTTGTGGAGAGAGAGCAGAGCCCCAGATCACTGGGGCGCGGGGTTGGAGCACCAGGCTTCCCAACGCTGCAAGCTCCACAGTGCTACAGCCACGGAGATGCCTCCAGACCTCAGCCTAACCCCACCCCACAACCTGCCCTGGAGCCGTTTCCCCTCTGGCTCCTCAAAAAGGATCCTGTTAATGACTGGCAGGAATCTAGTCTGGACTCGCAGGTCCTGCCAGCTGCAGGGTTTGCCCACCAGCTGCTACGGAGCCCTGACCATCACCCCCACTCAGCACTGGAATCGCCCAGCTGCTGCTAACCGAGACACAGCCACAGGGCGACCTCTCTGGCCGCAGAGCCCCAGGGGCACCAGCTCAGCAGCACCCACGAGCACCCACTGGGAAGCAGCTCCGAGCTTGAGTGCCAGTCCTAGCTCCCGAGCCACATAAGCAGCAGGACACCTTCAGTGCAGGCTCTGCCAGCCAGGTCAGTTCAGCCCAGTCCCTTCCCTCCATCTGCAAGACCGGCTCCCTGCCCAGCTACGCTCCGTCCCCAGCACCTGCTCAGGGGTGGGCCTGGGAGCCAGCAGAGCTACACCCCTATGGGTTGTTCTCCGGGCCCCCAGCAGTAGCATGGGATGGCAGCAGCGCCCGGGCAATGCCACCCCTCCTACCCACTGGCTCCGGGTCTCACTCCCTTTCTGTTCGCAGCGTGCTGCCAGGGGCAGACAGGGCTGGGAGCTCATCGCTAACGAGCACTTGGCACTCACGGCCACACGAGGCAGCTGAGATCCGCCACCTCAAGCAAGAGGGAAAGTTGTCAGCAAGACACTGCAAGCCACAGGAGCACAGCTCCCGGCAGTTCCAGGAACAACCTGCCCCCCACCCACAGTTCCAGGAACCGCCCACACATGTGCACTGGACCGGTTCAGCAGGCACTGGATTGCTGTGCCATTTGGGGGCATTTTTGCTCTTACCTGACCAGAGGAATGTGATCCAGAGTGCAGCACGAAATGGGGCCGTCCAGCCCACAGGACTGGTTATAACTCCTGGGGAGAAGGGAACAAGACACCTTAGATAAGGGGTCAATACTTGTCGGGCACCAGACTTGCTGAGCCCACCAGCTTCTGCAGATTTTAAGCCTTTGTTAAAATAAGTTTCCCAGCCCTGCTGGCTGCAGAGAAAACCAGCCCAACGTGACTCCATACAGTGCCATCTGCCTGCGTCTGCAGCCAGGCTGACACAGCTCAGAACTGGGGCATGACCTCAGCTGGCTCAACGGGACGCCCGCACAGAAGCTTACCAGTGACATGTCAGTGCTGCTAACGATTTCGCTGTGCATCGTTTCAGCAAAACTCTTTTAGCTACTCTGGGGTTGGGGGCAGAGTCCCCCCTGCCCCCAGCCTGCCCCTCTCCAGTTTCCCCAGGATCACTACAGACAGCATCAAGCACAACTCAAGGGAGCTCTGCGGTTCAGCTCACGTGGCATCTGGATGCTGCTCCAAACAATCAGAAGCTCTTGGACCCGCTAAGCTGAGCTGTCAGGCTCCCTGGGGAGATGCCACAGGCAGGACGCTGCCTGCTGGCAGGGGTTGACCCCTCTGCTTCCAGCAGGACCCTGGAAGCTTAGAAGCCCCCGAGAGAGATACAAATGAACCTGCGTCCATCCTCTGGACAGGCTCAGTCCATGTCCCGGGAGAAGCTGCAGGGCAGTTTGAGTCTTGGGCTGACGTTCAGATCAGCTCTCCTTTTATCCAATCAGATTTGCCCAGCTGAGTCCACAGTCCTGTGCCAAGAAGCGGCTCATGGGGCAATACCCATTTGGACGGCTCCAGTCAAACAACCCCAGGGCCAGGATGGGTTTCCTGCAGCAGTTTAGCCCCCATCTCCCAAGAGCAGGTGGAGACGGGCTGCCCATTAACTGTGCCCATGCAGTCCGGGAAAGGGGGCGTAACTCCTTCCTCCCCATCAAACAAAACCAGAGAGACGGCAACGCTCCTGTCTGCTCACTAAAGCCACGCGTCAGTGAGGAGCAGCATGGGCAAACGTGCGGGGATCCCCGTTTCACAGCACGCTTCCCAAGGAGCCCTGAAGAGCCAGGAAGGTGGGCTGAAGATAAAGCCAGAGGCCTGATGGGACCTCTCCCCAGAGCTCCTAGCTGTGTGCATGCATACAGCCCCTTCCACAGCTGGCTGCTCGCTACATGGGAATGGCCCATGGTTCACGCCTGGGCAAATGAGTCCATCTTGTGGCCCATCCCCACATGCCTTGGAGAGAGGTGACTCTCACTAAGGCCCTGGTCTACACTACGAGTTTAGGTCGAATTTAGCAGCGTTAAATCGAATTAAGCCTGGACACGTCCACAGGACGAAGCCCTTTTTTTCGACTTAAAGGGCCCCATTAAACCGGTTTCTTTACTCCACCTCCGACGAGGGAATTAGCGATAAAATCGGCCTTAGGGGGTCGGAATTGGGGTAGTGTGGACGGAATTCAACGTTATTGGCCTCCGGGAGCTATCCCACAGTGCTTCATTGTGACCGCTCTGGACAGCACTCTCAACTCAGATGCACTGACCAGGTAGACAGGAAAAGCCCCGCGAACTTTTGAATTTCATTTCCTGTTTGCCCAGCGTGGAGAGCACAGGTGACCATGCAGAGCTCATCAGCACAGGTAACCATGATGGAGTCCCAGGATCGCAAAAGAGCTCCATCATGGACCGAACGGGAGGTACGGGATCTGCTCGCCATATGGGGAGATGAATCAGTGCTAGCTGAACTCCGTAGCAATAAACGAAATGGCAAAATATTAGAAAAAGTCTCAAAGGCCATGAAGGACAGAGGCCATAACAGGGATGCACAGCAGTGCCGCATGAAAATTAAGGAGCTAAGGCAAGCCTACCACAAAGCCAGAGAGGCAAACGGAAGGTCCGGGGCAGAGCCGCAAACATGTTGCTTCTACGCGGAGCTGCATGCCATGATAGGGGGTGCAGCCACCACTACCCCAACCGTGTGCTTTGACTCCATCAATGGAGAATCACGCAACAGGGAAGTGGGTTCGGGGTACGAGGAAGATGATGATGAAGACAATGAAGATAGCTCACAGCAAGGAAGCGGAGAAACCGGTTTCCCCAACAGCCAGGATATGTTTATCACCCTGGACCTGGAACCAGTAATCCCCGAACTCACCCAAGGCGTGCTCCCAGATCCTGAGGGCACACAAGGGACCTCTGGTGAGTGTACCTTTGTAAATATTACACATGGTTTAAAAGCAAGCATGTTTAATGATTAATGATTAATTTGCCCTGGCAATCGCGGCCAGTACAGCTACTGGAAAAGTTTGTTAACGTGTATGGGGATGGAGCGGAAATCCTCCAGGGACATCTCCAGAAAGCTCTCCTTCATGTACTCCCAAAGCCTTTGCAAAAGGTTTCTGGGGAGGGCTGCCTTACCCCGTCCGCCATGGTAGCACACTTTACCACGCCAGGCCAGTAGCACGTAGTCTGGAATCATTGCATATCAAAGCATGGCAGCGTATGGTCCCGGTGTTTGCTGGCATGCAGACAACATCCATTCCTTATCTCTCTTTGTTATCCTCGGGAGAGTGATATCATTCACGGTCACCTGGTTGAAATGGGGTGATTTTATTAAGGGGACATTCAGAGGTGTCCGTTCCTGCTCGGCTGAACAGAAATGTTCCCCGCTGTTAGCCACGCGGTGGGGGGGAGGGGTGAAGTGATCATCCCAGAGAATTAGGTGTGGGGGGGTAGTTGGGTTTGTGCTGCATGTTAACCCGGAAACCCCAGCCCCTCCTTTACATTGCAAACCCATTTTAAATGGCCAACCCAACAGGTGCTTGGTATGGGAAATGAGGGCGCTGCTGTTTGAAACCATTCCCACATGTTATGAAGGTTAAAAAAGCCAAAAGACTGTGGCTTACCATGGCTGCCAGCAAGCCGAACTCTGTTGCCTGGCACTGCGTGAGTGATCTCTCACACCAAACCGGCAGGCCCTCAATACAAGAGGAAAAATGCGACCTTGTAACGAAAGCACATGTGCTGTGTAATGTGAACAGCAAAATTTAACGTGAAAGAGTGTACCCATTGCTCTCTAAAATGTGTCTTTTTTAACCACCTCTCCCTTCTCCTCCACCAGCTGCAAATGTTTCTCCTTCGCAGAGGCTAGTGAAGATTAGAAGGAGAAAACGGCGGACTTGGGATGATATGTTCTCGGAGCTCCAGATGTCCTCCCACGTTGACAGAGCACAGCAGAATGCGTGGAGGCAGTCAATGTCAGAGTGCAAAAAAGCACAATATGAACGATAGGAGAGGTGGCAGGCTGAATCGCGGGCTGAAGAGAGCAAGTGGCAGGCTGAAGAGGATAGGTGGCGTCAGCTTGCTGACAGAAGGCAAGAGTCGATGCTCCGGCTGCTGGAGCATCAAACTGATACGCTCCAGCGTATGGTTGAGCTGCAGGAAAGGCAGCAGGAGCAGAGACTGCCGCTACAGCCCCGGTGTAACCAACAGCCCTCCTCCCCAAGTTCCATAGCCTTCTCACCCAGACGCCCAAGAACGCGGTGGGGGGGCCTCCGGCCACCCAGCCACTCCACCCCAGATGATTGCCCAGGCATCAGAAGGCTGGCCTTCAATAAGTGTTAAAGTTTTAAAGTTTTAAACTGCAGTGTGTCCTTTTCCTTCCCTCCTCCCCCACCCCTCCCGGGCTACCTTGGCAGTTATCCCCGTAGTTGTGTGATGAATTAATAAAGAATGCATGAATGTGAAGTAACAATGACTTTATTGCCTCTGCAAGTGGTGCTCGAAGGGGGGAGAGGAGGGTGGTTAATTTACAGGGAAGTAGAGTGAACCCTGCTGTACTCTTCTAACCGCCCTAGTGTCTGGCTGCGCGTAATCAGCGGCCAGGCGATTTGCCTCAACCTCCCACCCCGCCATAAATGTCTCCCCCTTACTCTCACAGATATTGTGGAGCGCACAGCAAGCAGCAATAACAATTGGAATATTGTCAAGTATCAGAGGGGTAGCCTCTGAATCTGTAAAAAGCAACAGAGGGTCTGAAGAAGTGAGGTTCTTACCCATGAAAGCTTATGCTCCCAATACTTCTGTTAGTCTTAAAGGTGCCACAGGACCCTCTGTTGCTAATTGGAATATTGGTTTCGGTGAGGTCTATCCGAGTCAGTAAACTGCGCCAGCGCGCTTTTAAACGTCCAAATGCACATTCTACCACCATTCAGCACTTGCTCAGCCTGTAGTTGAACAGCTCCTGACTACTGTCCAGGCTGCCTGTGTACAGCTTCATGAGCCATGGCATTAAGGGGTAGGCTGGGTCCCCAAGGATAACTATAGGCATTTCAACATCCCCAATGGTTATTTTCTGGTCCGGGAAGAAAGTCCCTTCCTCCATCTTTTGAAACAGACCAGAGTTCCTGAAGACGCGAGCATCATGTACCTTTCCCGGCCATCCCACGTTGATGTTAGTGAACCGTCCCTTGTGATCCACCAGGGCTTGCAGCAGCATTGAAAAGTACCCCTTGTGGTTTATGTACTCGGTGGCTTGGTGCTCCAGTGACAAGATAGGGATATGGGTTCCGTCTATCGCCCCACCACAGTTTGGGAATCCCATTGCAGCAAAACCATCCACTATGACCTGCACATTTCCCAGAGTCACTACCATTGATATCAGCAGGTCTTTGATTGCGTTGGCTACTTGGATCACAGCAGCCTCCACAGTAGATTTGCCCACTCCAAATTGATTCCCGACTGACCGGTAGCTGTCTGGCATTGCAAGCTTCCACAGGGCTATCGCCACTCACTTCTCAACTGTGAGGGCTGCTCTCATCCTGGTATTCTGGCGCTTCAGGGCAGGGGAAAGCAAGTCACAAAGTTCCATGAAAGTGCCCTTATGCAAGCGAAAGTTTGGCAGCCACTGGGAATCGTCCCACACCTGCAACACGATGCGGTCCCACCAGTCTGTGCTTGTTTCCCGGGCCCAGAATCGGTGTTCCACGCCATGAACCTCCCCCAGTAACACCATGATTT